TTATATTTAAAAAAGCTAACTTGACACAAGTGACGTTTACTCAAATTTGACGTTTGACTGAAAAAACTGCATTTGAAATGTCTGTAATGTTATTTTAGAAAAAACGCTAACTTGACATAAGTGACGTTTACTCAAATTTGACGTTTGACCGAAAAAACTGCATTTGAAATGTCTGTAATGTTATTTTTAAAAAAGCTAACTTGACATAAGTGACGTTTACTCAAATTTGACGTTTGACTGAAAAAACTGCATTTGAAATGTCTGTAATGTTATATTAAAAAAAGCTAACTTGACATAAGTGACGTTTACTCAAATTTGACGTTTGACTGAAAAAACTGCATTTGAAATGTCTGTAATGTTATTTTTAAAAAAGCTAACTTGACATAAGTGACGTTTACTCAAATTTGACGTTTGACTGAAAAAACTGCATTTGAAATGTCTGTAATGTTATTTTTAAAAAAACCTAACTTGACATAAGTGACGTTTACTCAAATTTGACGTTTGACCGAAAAAACTGCATTTGAAGTGTCTGTAATGTTATATTTAAAAAAGCTAACTTGACACAAGTGACGTTTACTCAAATTTGACGTTTGACTGAAAAAACTGCATTTGAAATGTCTGTAATGTTATATTTAAAAAAGCATACTTGACATAAGTGACGTCTCATCAAATTTGACGTTTCAATTGCAAACTGATTTATTGGAAATGGTGTATACTGACATCGTTGAAATTTATGATTTACTTAAGTCACATCAATTTCGAACTAATATTTATGAAACATTGAGATTCACTTATCTATGAGTAACATTTGTCTTTATTTTAACTGACGTTACTGACATTGAAGTGTCAATTTACTTCGGACAAACTTAAATCTAATGCGATTGTTAGGAGAAAAGTAAAGATGAAAAGAAGCGTTAATTGGCGATGTTTTTTTTGTTTGTTTTTGGAATGATGTTTGTACCTCTGCCATTCCAAATCCAAGGCGTCTGACATCAAACCCAGGAATGTTCCACCGGCATGACCGATGCCCCTCGGCCCAAAGCGCTGCGCATAGCAAGCTAAACCACAAAAGTTCTATTAAATCGCAAAAGCAAACAAAAACCAAAGAAAAGACGAAAAGAATTGAAAAGAAGAAAACACGAAGAATTGTTAATGATTGTGTTTGATCTTTGGCTACGTACTGGTTGGGGGTACAGTCGCTCTGAAGGGTGCCTCCGCCTTGGCCGTAGCCATAGCCCTTAGGTCCGAATCTCTTGCCGTAACATACTACAATATAAAAATGGACATAACACAATGATACTAAAGAAAAGAACAACAACAACAAATCTATCATATTTTGATTGAACTGATTTAGATGCATGCAATTGTAATGAGAGATATGAGTAATATAGTGGAGTGCTCCACGCACCTTTGCAATAGATATCCTTGTCAGGACCTTCGCAACACAGAATCGAATCCAATCCCTTGTTGCAATCGGCGCACTTGAAGCAAGACTTGTGGAAAGCCTTGAACGGACAGAAAACAGACACAGAGTTGATGTGGACGTACAACAGAAAGATTAATTAAGATACACGTGTAGACAACGATGCGTAAGAGTTACAACGATAAATTAAAGAAAGACGTGCTTCAGGGCTTCAAAAAAAAAAAAAAAAATATAAATTATAAATTAAACATTTACAGATCACCAAGTAATTAATTGTAAGAAATATTAAATAACATTTAACAGCAAAAAAAACAAAAAACAAAGAGTGTGATTCTACCTCGGCAGTAGACCTCTTCGTCTGGGCCGTCACAGTGTGACGTCGAGTCCAGAGTTCTCGAGCAATTATTGCACTTAAAACACCTCCGGTGCCAGCCCTAGTCACGCAAAAGTCTGCATCTTTAATACAATACGTTTCTCGTTTCACCCGAAATCGTCCGAAGCCGAACGTCGGCAAAATTCGCGACGACGTTCGGCTCGGATCGTCCGACGCGAACTCACCCGTCCTCTGGCGAGCATCTGTTCGGCCGCGTACACGAAGCCGCCGCAGCGTGGACATCCCTCGCCTTCGGGCGCCTTCGACATCGCCTTCGGAGCTACCAACGGCACTCGGTTCATAATCGGATCACTATCGGAAAACCAAAAAAAAAAGAAGAAAAAAAAACACATAAAACTTTCGATCTTTGCATAAAAAAAAAAAATGAAATAAAAAGAAACGCATTAGTTGTTAGCTAATAATTAAGGGTTAGGATTCAACAATCATAATTAAGTTAAGGAATATTTGTTTAGTACAATAAAAAAAAAAGGGTGCTGGTGTACGAAAGAGGAAAGAAATACGATAACAAAAGAAGCAGCGTTTGCGTGATTCGATCGAAACGAATTCATTTTCTTTTTTTGTTTGCTTTGATTTTGTTCAATTGTTTCTCGTTTTGTTTTTGAAAATTTTCTCTCTCTACTAAAACAAAAGAAATCGATTAACAAAAACAACAAAATAAAACAAAAGAGAATTTAAAAAAAAAAACAAACGACAAAAACAAACAAACAAAAAAAAAAGAGAGAGAGAGTAAAATAAATGAAGAAAAAAAAAGTAGTGAGTTCGGTCAAACTTGAGGGCACTTTTCCCATCCCCGTCCCACGAAAGTGTTAAGGGTAGGAAAGCAATATTACGATAATAACAACAACAACAACTAGGTTCGGTGTTAATCAACAACAACAACAACAACAACAACAAATGGTAACAAAAAAAAATGGGTTTTTAATTATTATCTATAAATTAAGAGAAAAAAAAAACAGGAAAAAATTAAACTAGAGCGTAATTGGCGTCTGAAGCCATGCGATCCACGATTTAATTATATAAAAATCCAATTCTCACCATCGTGAAGGTATGTGTGCGTGTGTGTGTGTGTGAAAAAAAACAATAAAAAAAAATGTAAAAAAAATAGAGTGTTTTGTTTCATCGATCCCCAGCTCTGGTGTCTCTTTTTCTCCGCATTTTCTTTCCGTTTGCGGAAAGAAAATGTTATAATAAGAGAGAGAGAATACGTAGTAGGACTTGGATTTGATTGTTTTAGGGATTTTGGATGGATTGAGAGAAAGAGAGAGAGAGAGAGAAGAGAAGGCAACGTTCACAAAAGTTACACCGAAAAAACAATAGGTGAAGAGACAAAACAACAACGAAGAAGACTTGACAAATTAATTACAAAAAAAAAAAAAGAAAACAGTTTCGTGTGTCTTTTGTTGTTGTTAGTGCAAACACAGTTTCTCCGAAAACAATTGTTGTTGGCGCTCGACTGACGTTGCCCACTCAATCCCCCCCCCCAGATTTTTTCCTCTCAAGAAAAAAAATAAAATTAATAAAAGAAAATTTGATTTTCATTTTAAAACTGGTATATTTATTGATATAATCGTATTTTCAACCCGGACATTATTTACATATTTGTTCGTTTCTCTTTTTCTTTTGTTTCATTTGCAATTATTTCCCTCTGATTTTCATTTTGAGTTTCAATTTCAAAAGCAAAAAAAAACGGATTTCGATGGTTGAAAGTAATAAAAGAAGGTCCTAAACCGTAAATAATGCAGATCAAAAGTGAAAAATTATTAAATAAATAGATAGTTATTAATATTAATATATGTTTTTTTTTTTTTTATTTAATCATATTTTTTTCTTCTTCATATAAAGTAATCTTAATCATTTTTTTTTAAATAAATAAGTAAATTAATTAAATTTTGGGGTTGTTTTTTGAAAAAAAATCGTAGATGGTCTGATTTTTCTTTTGTTTTTGCTTGTTTTTAGGCTGCGACGATTGACACACACGAGAGAGCGGTATTGTTTTTGAATTTGTTTGATTTTGTTTTTTGTCTTTGTAATTTCGCAGTCGGCCCCCAGATGGTAGTAGGTAGATCCTGGAGGAAGGGTCCTTAGGAGCTACGAGTGTAATACAAAAAAAAAAGATAGGGTCATGCACACTAGGAAACTCTTCGCTGTATGTTTTTGTGTGTGTTTTCATTTTCTTTCTACTTCTTCTTCTTTTTTTTTAAACAACAACAATCACAACAACAACAACAACAACAAAAAAAAAACTTTTGTAAGAAGGCATCGGCAACCAACAAAAAAAAAATTATGTGTGTGTAATTATAATATTAAAGTGAAAACTCGCCAGAGCAAAAGCAGGCAGAACACCTCTGATTAGGGCAGAAGCAGAAGTACTCTCGGATTCCTTAGATCTCGTTGAAAAACAAATGAAAAAAAAATTGACGAACGCGTGTTGTGTGTTGCTTATATCATTGTAACAATAGTCGAGAACAAATGAATTGCTTCACTTCAGTTAATCCAGAGGTGTTAGGCTGTGTTTTTGCGGCAGCGGATTGTTTTTGTTTTTTACATTTTTAACAACAACAGAAAAAACAACAACAATTAAATCAACGTGTACGAAATGGGGGTGTGTGTATATATATCTATATATATATGTGTATATAAATATATAAAAAAAATATCAGGAAAAGCCCTCAAATCTGATGAACCTTCATTCTGGTTTTAAAATTTGACAGTTGACAGTTTACTTTGACAGTTACGTTGTGTACTTTTTTTCTCGGATACCGATTTTCCATCATTCTTTCTTTCTTTTTCTTTTTTTTTTCACTATCGTGACTAAAACGTGATGATGATAATAATAATAATAATATTGACTTTTTTTTTTAATCGTAATACAAGTTTTCTCGTAGGTAGATAGATTTAGAAGATTTAGAATCAAGGAGACACTCACCCTCCCAAGTGGGCACCGGTGTCCATGCTCAAGCATCCAGCGCCACCGCCGAATCCGTAACCCTTGGGTCCGTATTTGCGGGCGTGGCAGTTCTTGCAGTAAAGTTCCTTCTCGTGCTCGGAGCAGTTGGTGGAGTCCAACATCTTACCGCAAAGTCCTGAACAAAAAAAACAACAACAAAAAAAAATTAATAAAAAAATCAAACTTTTGTATACAAAAATCAAAATTAGAGTCCTTAGAAAGTTGAATATTTTAGTCAAGAAATTTGTGAAACATCCAAATAGACTTTGGAATGAAACATGATCAGTATAGAGATATTAGGAATCTAAATTTCACTTCCTAGATTATAAAAATTGAGATTTGAAGCATAAAAATATTATTTCCAATTTGTTGATTGATGAGTCAAGAAATTGATGGTGGATTGAAATAGGTTTTAGATTGTAAGACAATCATGGTAGTCGTATTCAGGAAGTTAAATATTACTTTTGATCAAGTAATTAAAGCATTGTAAATATTATATTCAAGAAATGTTTCGATTTTGTTGATGGATCCTTACCGCATTTGAAGCAGGATTTGTGGTATTTGTAGCCTCCAGCGACGCGCTCTTCAGCGGCGTAGACGGACTTTTCGCATTTCGGGCACTTGGGGTTTTCTACTGGCTTGAAAGGCATGGTTGATGGATTTCACTTGTCGGCCTGCAATGAGAAGAAAACGAACAAATTAAATAAAACGAAAAGAACTAAACTGTCGAGTTGCGGCTTCTTTGGCTTCGGGCCAGATTAGGTAATAGAATCTAATAACCGCGACGAACGAGAGATGGGGGGGAAGAGGAAGAGAGAGGTGATGGATGTTATGATTCATGTGCAAAGGGTAAAAATAGGCTTTGGCCGAGATCCAAGAGTGTGTGTGTGTGTGTGTTTGTTATGGGTGTGCGTGTTGAGAGAGCGCACGCATCCGCTTTCCATCATCATCATCATCGTAGCAGTGATCATCATCATCATCATAGTCGATCCAAATTTGGAAGCGCACAGGTGAATCGATGATTCGGGTTTCCAATCCAAAGCTCACGATGATGATGATTGCGATGATCTATTTTTAGCACACGATAATCGCACTGTACAATGAAATTACTACACTTTGCTTCACTTTCTCAAATCTCTTGAACCTCTTGGATCAAGGTGTTTCTTTCTTTATTTCTGTTTGTGTGTTTAGTATTATGTATAATATGAATATTTACCTGGTCGGTTTCGTAATAGGGTAGTAGTTCTGGACTACAACGAGATGGTTTGTAAGTGTGAGTAAGTGTTTGGATGAGAGTGTGCGTGTGTCTCACTGACTACCACCGTGGTTCGAATGACTTGGATGGCTGCTGCAGCGGCTAGTCTATGAAGTAGCTTTTGCACACGACCCTTAGCTCCGGGGGTGGGGACCGGGGCCTCTGTCCGTCTCCCTCTTCGGCATAGCCGCATCCTGCTTCGCTTCACCATCTCGTTACATTACGGACTCAGAATAGCCTTTTGAGCAGCGATCTATTTTCGTTTTTGGATGCACGGCAGAGATGACAGATCTACTTTTTCGATAAAAACCACACCTTTTTCAGAAATCCGACACCGGCACACACACACACACACTCACATTCCTTCAGCACACAAATCGAATTTGATTTTTTTTTTTGCACTCGATACGCAAATTTCCGAACAAAAAAAAAATGAAAATTACAAAACCCGTGCGGAAAATAGTTTTACGCTGTTTATTATTGGAACCTGACTCATCATTGACTAAGAAAAACAGACGAAATTTGCTGATCGATACAATTAGCAAATTAGAAATAGAATATTTCATTTGATTCTCGCAAACAATATATACAATTTTTCTCTAAAATCAATTGAATATAATAATAATTAGAGCCTGTTATCAATCGAGTTCGATTGCCAAGTTTCTCCTCTTTTGGTCGACGTTCAAGCATCTCAGCAATGTGCGATTCGCATCCAACCCGACATTCCAGTCTCAATGGCCTCTGATAACATTCATCTCAAATTCTTCATTAATCGCATTCACAACAACTTCTTCATATTAATTTTCAGTTTTTTTTTATTTATAAAAATTTACTATATATAAGACCTAGGTTAATACCACGTGGAACATCTGCTACAGCTTTAAGCAAACATTTCACATGTTGTTTATTATAGCAAATTAGTCGTTATTTGGTCCATCGTAAAATGAAACCATTAATATAAACATTTCCAATATGTATGTAGGACCTAGGTTAATGCCATGTGGAACAACTATCAGAAATTGTCAATTACTAACTAAATAATTCATCCGGCTGATTCATTTGTTTTTCGACATTTTTTTTTGGTGTAGTCACCATTTCAATTGTTTTGTTTTAAAATCCTTATATATGTTTACAGTAAAGTAATAGTATTTTTTTTTTGCAATTAAATTTGTTTATAATTTCGGAGATTGTCACATTTTTTCAACACTTTCAAGTAGCAATTGTTTTTTTTTTTTTTTTTTTCGTTTCTGGTTATGTTTCTAACCTACGATAATAAACGTTGCAGGATATAGTTCAAACTGTGGCAAGATGTCTTCGTTAAATTTGCGCACTTTATTTGTTTTGAATTCACTGCATTCGTTTATTATCTTAACGCGTAAATTATTAGCACTGTCACTTTTTGTTATGATCATCGTTTGTTTTTCTCTATGCATACTCGATTAATTGCAACACTTTCGAGAAACAATTGTTATAGCGATGTTCATATCTTTTATGAATAATTTAATTTAAGATACATTAAAAAATATTATAATTTCAATAAATATTAGAATTTTTAAATAATTTTAATATGATAAGGATATACGTAGAGGTAAAATAATGAAAACTCAAAATTTTGCTATTTTTTTTGTTAAATTTATTTTTTTAGAACAATTGACATCAAAAAAAAAATGATATAATTAGTACTAATTACGAATGTTTTGAATAGATTCTGAAAGGATTTAAGATTTTCAGATAAAATACATGTAATTTGCAAAGAATTGATCAAGAGTGTAGATGTTAGCTTTTAAATAAAAACGAAATTTTTTGTCATAGCTACAACAAAAGGAAAATTGTTGTCATAACTACTTTCCGAATCGATTAACAGAAATTGTTGTTATAACTGCATGTTACAAATGATGTGAGGATTTAACAAAATAAATAAAAAAATGGTACTTTTGAACAGATTCTGAATCGATTTACAAAGTGTGTTGTCATAGCTACAAGTGATGCGTTGTGGATCGTTTAAGATGAATTAGGAGAGTTGACGTTTGCATTAAAAACAAGAGAAAATCCGGTTGTCATAACTACGAGTTATAAGTAGCGTTTGGATTTGGGATTCTGGATGAAATGTTATCTTTGCCGGACGTTTACACTGGTCGGCGATCGTAAATCCGGCAATTACGTAACGCGTCCTTTAAATTTGGACGCGAACGCGGGATTATTTAATAAGAAATAATCGTGTCCGTTTTTGCGAGTTATTTGGGAAATGCAGGTCGGACCTCGACGCTTGCCAACTGCTGTGTTTGTTGCACTTCTGCACAACCGGCAACAACAGTAGCAACAAGTAAACAACAACAACAACAAAAAACAGATGAAGCAAACAACAAAACGAATGTGTCGCATGGAAACGGTTTCTATGTAACGCCGGGGAGATAATCTGGGTGGAGGATCGGGTTGAGATCCAGGCTATTTCCAGAATTTGTTTTCTTTTCCAGGAAAGTGTGTCGAAAGTGATGCAACGACGAGCATCGTTTTTAATTGGTCCTTCTACTTCTTTCCGCGTCTTCCATCTTCCTCCGTTCGAGGTGTATTATGTTTCCAACGGTGAGATGAGATGAGATATGTGCGCGTGTTACGGTTTCGGAAGATGAGTTGTGTTGTTACGCCCACGCAAACGGTGCGAATAGGACCGAATTAGAATCGAAGCGGCGACGATGAGAGAGGTGAATCAGTAGTGCAAAAGTATTCATATTTTATTTTCTTTTCTGTCTCCGCACACCGAACAGAACCGATTGATTTCTATTGGTATTCGAATATCGAAGAAGTCGAAGAGTCGCCTCATCTGAAATTTGAAAAACAAAAATAAAAGAGTAATAAAAGAAAGAGCACATCTAGTGCGGCTGTGGGCCGCCGTCACGCATAATAATCTTTGGCAGCGCGGATAACGGATAATCCACTATTAATAAAAATGAATTTCGCAGATTTTCGAAACGCCACGTCACCGCGCCTCGACCCATGCCAACTTACCTGAAAAGGTTTCCATCTCCACGCCCAAACAACCGAACACAAATCGTCGCACATAACCATAAACAGGTTGAACAACAGTGACAAAACAATTTCCCCCAAAATTTACAACGGTGACACACGTCAATCTGTTGTAAAACAAATCAAAATTTTGACATTTAATATTTGACATTTGGAAATTATTTCTATATATTAAAAGTTTTATTAGAAAACAAATCTTGACATTTCACTGAAACCATTTTTGTAAGAGTCACTTTGTGTGTTTGTGTGTGTGTGTGGTTATAGAATAGCAGTGACCTTAGGAATGGTATTTTTAACAACGAAATATGAAAATATCTGTGAACTTCAAAAGTCTCATTTGTTTCGCTTTCCGAGAACGCCGTCTATTTGTTTCATAAATAATTTCAATTTGTTGCAATTACAGAATTACAATTAGTTTTCTTTTTATTATCGAAATATTCAATTTTTCTATTCTATTTTGATCTAAAAAGGCGTAAATTTGAAGTTTCTGACTCTATCATCTGGTATCTCTCAAATACACATTAAATGACGTTTATGAAATGACGTGCAAGGTATTTGATAAGTGATGTTAAGAGTATCAATCGAAATTGTCCATTGATGGTGAGATTATATGAACTTTGGATTTTGTATCCAAGAAAATAGGCAATAGAAATTGGATCAAAGAGAATACCATCAGTGACGTAAATCTGACGTTTCTAATCCTATCACCTGTTATATGTCAAATACACATAAAATCATAGAACAAGGTTATGCAATGCTACGAATGACTTAGAAGCTCGTAAAATTGAATTGATTTACGAGTTAATTCTGACTTTTCTAACGCTTCCAGCTGTCACCTGTCAAATACATATACAAATTATATAATAAGGTTATACAATGCATTTAATAAGAAATATTAAAAAATAATCTATCCATAAAGTTTTCGTACGTATTTTTTGTTTCATTTTAGCAGTTACACCTTTTTCAATGGTATGAATGACACCAAAAGAAAAAAAATATTATTTTTTTGTAGAAGCTTGTAAATTGAAGCTTGTAAATTGTAAATGATGTAATTCTGACGTTTCTAACTTTTCCACCTGTCATATGTCAAATACACAATTATCCATTGATGGTTCGTACGTATTTTCTTTCATTTTCGCCGCTACAGTTTTGTTTCAATACCACGAATTACGTGGATTGCTGTGTAATATATATTCAAAATGAGATTTCTGGTATCTATCAATTAAAAAATTACGTAATTCTGACGATGCTGTTTCACCTGTCATCTGTCAAATACAAATAATCATATAATAAGGTTATGCAACTTATTTACTAAGAAATATGAAAAATTGTCCATGAAATTTTCATTTGTATTTTGTTTCAATACCACGAATGACGACAAAAGAAAAAAAATTGTTGAAACTCGTATAATTGAATTAAAAAATGACGTAATTCTGACGTTTCTGACTGTATCACCTGTCATCTGTCAAATACACGTATAACAAATCATATAATAAGGTTATGCAATGTATTCACTAAGAAATATGAAAAATTGTCCATGGAATTTTCGTACGTATTTTGTTTCATTTTCGTCGTTTGTTTCAATACCACGAATGACGTGGATTGCTGTGTAAAATATATTCGAAATGAAATTTAAAAAAAAACAACGAAGAATCAAGAAGACGTGAAACAAAATAAATATATATGAAATTTTCGTCGAAGCTCGTAAAACTGAAATCAAGGTGACCGAAATCTAAAATAAAGAAATATCATTTTTTTAGTATGTAAATATATTTTTTTAATTATAGCTTAAAATTAATCAAACTCAAATTTTAATATAAACTTTGAAGTATTACAAAAGTTAAACTTTTCGTGCAAATAATTGTTTTACCTATAAATACTTGACATTCAAATTAAATCCATGAATGTACGAAAAAAACTAAGTTGATACAAAAGCAATCAATTTTCGATTTACGATATTTTGTAAATTTGTATCAAAATTTTAATGTGTTTTATTGAAGTTAAATTTATAAATAAAAAAATGAGTAGAAGGTGATCAAGACGGCGACGATCATGGGAAAAGTATTCCGTGTATTTAGTTGGCGAAGATAGCGCTAGACCCTGTGCATCATCTACCTACAAACCGACGTCTCGCACACTCATTAGCCGAAAATGTATATTGAAAGCAACAAACAAACTGAACACGGCGTCTTCTTTTTAGCAAATGCCGACAGAATAAAAATAATTTTCAGTGTCTGTAATAACTGCTGAACGCCGCCCGCCCTGCCTCTTCACTCCGTCCGTGCCCGATGATGATTCATAAGCGTAACGTAACGTGGATTTATCGTCGGCAAATGTTAATCGTAAAGGTAAAAATAATTCGAATTCGATCCAACTGACCAAAAAAAAGAAGAAATAAAAAAAGATTAAGAAATATATATATTTATAAGCCAAGTGTTAATGATCCAAACGCTGTTTCGTCGTTGCATCGCCAACATCGAGAATACCTGTCTCGGATTCCAAACAAAAGCAACGCACCGTTGTTTATCAGCAGCACTCTACGATCCTCAAACTATTCATATTCAATTGTTAAACAAGCTTAGTTACAAATAACGGTTGCTATGGAAATAACAAATATTGTTAAAATATTCATTTAGTAATATCGGACATTTTGATTATTGGTATTAGAAGAAATATAAATTCGTTCACAAGTTTTTCGTTCAAATATTTACTCGATGGGAAACACTGAAATTTAACTGAAACAACGAATAAATCAATCGGGTTATTTTTAACCAAGAAACCCCAATAGAAAACTTAGTAAAACAAATTCTTGAAATATGATAGTAAATTTGTTGGTATTTTAATATAAATAACTTTAATATTATTTTTTTTAGAGAATCAAGACAGAAAAAAAAGAAGAAACTGTAACAGAGAGTATAAGATAATTATGTAACTTTGATCTATGAATAATGCGGCCGTATTTTAGTAGACTCAGCGAGTGAGTGTGCGTGTGTGTGTCTATATATTATTATATACTAAATATTTTTTTTTGTTCATGTCCACTTCGCGTTGCGTCAATGGAGCACTAAAAATATCACCAAAACAACTCCAGAGAAGAAGCGAAGACGATCATAAATTTAATTAGAACGAACGTGGAAAAAAAATAAATCTAATTATAAAAAATTTAACTTTTCGTTCAAAATTTACTCTTATTTTATTGTTTCAATTCGACCTTGAACTTGATTCGCACTCTCCAACATAGATTAAGAATTGTGACATTTAAATTGATTGCATATTTTATGACAGATGGCGCTCATCAATTGACAGGTTGCACTGGGTTTTAAACGTAATATATAAAACGGTATGAAAATGACATTTAACAATTAAAGGAAAGCGAACGAATTGCTCTATTTCTTATTGTTTCTTTTCTACTAAATTCGAGTACTGTTTGGATCAGAAATAGAATTTGAATTAATGCGGTTTTCTTGCGAGGGGATTCGAAAAATGTTTCACATTTAATGAATAACACGCGAGATCTAATTTCGTACCAGTGTTTAACCAGCTGCTTAAAAGCGGATTACACAAAACCCTAGTTAATACAAAGGATGCATATTAAAAAGACTTGATTTTGTTTTTTAAATATTATGCAAACTTTTAGGTTATGTCTTCACAATGATTCATATTTAAGAAATCAATGACATTTTACATCATCGCCTATTATTAAGTACTACTACATAGTTACGGTTGCTATGTTACTAAACACATATTATTGCTGTTAAGAATAATTCTCTTGTTATTATGGACTCTATCCCTACGCCTTACGCTTCTCTTCCTGTTGCTACGTGCGTTTCTCTTGTTATAAAGACTCCTTGCGGTTGCTACGGACGCTTAATTTGTTACTAAGGACGCCGAACGGTTGCTATGGATCCTACGGCTGTTACTAAAGACGCTGAATGGTTGCTAGGGACGCTAGGGTTGCTATAATCAACTTGTAAATAAGTAAAATAAGTAACTTTTAAATATTTTTACAACAAAGTATTGATGAAGGTGAAATAGTGAACAGAGGACACCGATTAAATCCGAAGAAGTTAAATAAATAAATAGAATAATGTATTTTAAACTTGTAATTCTAAACTTGAGACGTTTAGATTTAGTTAAGTGAAAAATTAAGTGTCGTAAAGTATGCACAAATAATGTTTCTCTAACGTCTAATTAAAGAACGGCCATGTTATTCTGGTTGTCATGGTTACATAAGCTCTGTTTATGTGAATGTTTTTCGAATTATCGGCGCTATTTTTGTGTGTTTCCACTCTATTTTCGTCGTCGACGGAATTCATTAAATTAAGTAAATCGAAGTGAGCAAATGTGAGTAAATGTATACATTGTAAATACACGATTTTGTTATCATTCCATACATAAACTGGATTCAGATTTATTTGATTTCTTTGTATCGAGTTTATTTGATTATGTGTTAGAGACGAAATGATTTTGTTAAAATAAACTTTTAGTGATGATTGTAGAAGTGCAATGATTCAGTAAAGATTGGAAGAGCGTTTGTATTTGTGGAGCAGCGTTTTGTGGAATTGGAGAAATAATACGAGTATTCATTACAGAGAAAAGGTTCGCTCTCCACTATTGCACAACCAAACTTGGTGGAAGAGGTTGAACCGAAGAAGTGCGTTCTCCTCGGCCTTCTAGATCGAGGAGGAACGCAGAATGTGTTTAGGCGGACTCGCATTTAGGCCATTTCGTCTGCTATAAATAAAGCGGTTTGAGCGCGAGCCAAAAAGGTCTATCTAAACACATCTCTCTCGGAGCGCGGAACCAACGAACGAACACCAGCCACAGCCGCCTATGTCCGTCCACATATGCTGGCTGCTGCATGAACCAGAAGAAAAAGCAGCACGAAAGTGAGAAAAAAAACGACGGAAGACAAGAGTTGAGAACCCAGAAACGACGACAAAAATTCCTGGAGCGACCAATTTAAATTCCACCTGTACCATCAGCATGATTTTCCTCATTGCTCTACAAATACCTTTTCTTGTTTATTCAGATTTATATATATGAGTTAAAGTTTTCCAAATTTTAGAACAATTTTTGTATAAAGAAGTGCGAACTGAGATGTCGTCTATCAATCAGGGATTTGGAATGTTAATGCTAATTAGCGTTTGTTTGCGAGCCGAAGATTGCTAATTAATGGTACGAGGATGATACAGTTCTATTTTAAAGTTTCACATTGAACAGATACGCACGACCTCTGTGTACTTTGGAGTGGACTCTGTGTAAACTTTATCAGGAAGTAGCGTTTACTTCCTTTCATCCCGTTCGACTTCTGCAAATATTTCCATTATAATTTACG